ATCTCCTTAATAAAACTTAACGATTCACTGTGATATACCACATATTGATAAAAGTTTGAAACTCTATGTTGATGGTTAGTTTATGTACCATAGGCTATCACACGCACCAATCCATTCTAGCCCTTATATTCTTCTTTAAAGCTTTATGATTCAACGTAGTGTACCATATGTTGATGATAGCTTACAAAATCCGTGCTAATGGGTATATCATTGACTGTGATATATTACACACAACTATCCACTCTTTCCACTTTTCTTCTAATAAAAGTGATTTATGAGTCAGCGTATGAAACCAAACACTGATGAGATCTCGCAATACTATGTTAGTGAATGATAGTTTTAACCTACACTATAAGAAGACATCACAAACCAAGTAGATAACCATTATCAATTCACTCATTGATCGCTTATGTTGATGTTCATTGCCATTGATGACCTATCGCATTGATGTAACTTCCTTGTATCAATGGTAACTTTTTGGATAATTTCTAAAAGATCCAGCATTATCTTGGTATACAAGATTTTACGGCGCATATCTCTTCAATCATCATTGTGTAAAAGGGAAGAAACTTATTGGTATAAATTATGAATTATCCGTCCTAGGTCACTTTTACAAGTTATTCAAGTAATTGGCTATCTCTATCTCTCTCTTAAAAATGACTCACCTTTGTCTCTCTCAAAGCTTTCACCATGTCAAAGCCTCTATATGAGTTTGTTCCCAGAACCAATGTCGTCAAAGGTCCTCATGGCCCTGACTTTCCTATCATCATTAAATCAACCAATGTTTCATTCTTGGGATGTAATCCTAAAGCAGTTCATAAAATCAGGAATCGAAGATTTCGTCAAATATGTCAAGAACTATCCTATTTGATATGCATTCTGTGACTTCCCGAATCCATTCTACCCTAAACAAGTATGTGAGTTCTACTATTCATGTTTTGTTGATACTTGATACTAATGCCCAACTATTACTGGAACCATTGGAGATGGTCAATATAGGGTTACTATTAATGCGAAATCCTTTCAAACTGCTCTTCATCTTCCTTTATTTGAAAGTTACTCTGAAACTCCTTCTGAAGAAAGCTTCAAATATGTTCGTGAAAAATTAGGGTATAATTTCCAACTTTAGGGCCTCACTCATGATCCATACAAGAACACTCTTCGTCAGTATTTTAATGTAGGATGGAAGTACTTAACATGTGTGATTGAAAAATGTATGTGACACAAGACTGGGAGTTTGGATCAATTAAATCTCTTTGAGCAAAGGATCTTATACTTTATTATTTACAATAGACGACTAGATTTTGCTTAACTTTTTCTTGATCACATGATTCACTGCATTATTGGGAACATGAAGCCATTGCATGTTCCCTATCCTTGTTGCCTTGGTCTGATCTTGTCTCGATATTAAGGTTATGTTTAAAGTCATAGGATTATCATTCCAATTCTACCTTTTCCTCAAAGATTATTAATGTCACTCCATCTCATGGTGCCTTGCCTATTACTATGAGGATGCAAAAATGCATTGAAAAACCCTATGTGGTTGAATCCTCAGACTCTGAAGAGGATGATGAGAATGATGATGATATAGAAGCTGGTAATAAAGAAGGGGTTGATGAGGAAGAAGACACTGATAAAGATGAAGAAGAATCATCCGTTGATAAGGGAGAAGAATTTGCTCCGGGGATGAATTCTATTACAAGGAACTCTCTTCCAAGGATGAACAAGCACATTTGATTCCCATCTACTCCTTCACCCTCTTTCCTTTGCAGATGATGTTGCACAACGTGGTTCAACGCTTCCTTTTATGGAAAATGTTGAGCCAATTATTCAAGATGAAAATTCTCCAAAGCCAATGTCTCCTGCTCCTCAAGCTAAGACTGTTCCTTCTATGCCAAATCCAATCATGAATGCAGACATTCATCAAGATAATCAGGAAGAATCCAACTCCAACTTCTAATCTAATGTGCTTTCCCAACTCTCTCTAATTGTGCATATTACTCAATCTCTGGGAAAAATGTTGAGTAAAGTTGAAAGGGATGTGGCTGTTGGAATAGTGTCTAAGGCTGTAACTATATTCGGTTGTGCATGGTCCTTTTGGGTTGCCTTCACCATAGCAACTTGAAGGATGATTTGTTAAGAGAGAGTAAATATTATAAGGAATAATATTTAGCTATTTGATTAATATAAGTCATAAATTAATTGGTATTAATTTGGTGACTTAAAGAGATTAATTAAATAAGAGGGTATAAACTGTCAATTGTTTGATAGTTAAGCTTTAGACTGTAAATCCATTAGGGTTGACTTTGGACGGTTTCTAAGAGCTTTAGGATAGCTCAAAATAGTCCATAAGGATATCTATGGAATGGATTTGGATAGCCTTAAGTGAAGATTATCCAATTAGGGTTTAGGGTGAAACCCTTAAGGAGTCTAAAGGTATAAATAGGCCCTTGGGGTGTGGAATTCGTGTACAACCTTTCAGAACCTAAAGCAAGGAACCTCTGGCCGAATTCCATCCCCTCTCCTCTCTCCTAAATCATCTTGCTTGCTATTGGTGTTTGTAAGCCATTAGAGGAGTGACAATTGTGACTCTAGAAGCTCCAAGACAAGAAGATCAACAAGGAACTCAAAGGTATGATTCTAGATCTGTTTAATGTTGTTGTTTAACCTAATTAGCCATTAGAAGTCTTGGATTCAAAAGCATGTTTATTAGAAAGCCTAGATCCAAGCAATAGGGTTTTGCATGCGCACATAGGAAAGTTCTTATGGCTAAAACCCAACAGTGGTATCAGAGCCTAGATTGGTTTTCTACAAATTGTTGCTTGAATAACTGAAACAAACCTGCAAAATTCGATTTTTTGGGTTTTGAGTCACTGACTCGTCGAGTTCCAAGGTGGACTCGTCGAGTAGGCCTGACTCGGCGAGTCCCCTTGTGCACTCGGCGAGTCCAAGCGTCAGGAAGGGCCAGATTCGGGATTTCTTTGTGTTTATCTTATCCAAACTTTCCATAAACTAATTAGATCAATATGAATCCGATTTTTTGATAAATATAAGTGTTATCTTGATCTAGTTAAAGGTAATTATCAACTAATTAAATATTTAGTTTCTTATATGATAATTAATTAATTGTTTTAATTATTTTTGGTAATTATCTCAAAGAAATCAAAGATAAATCAAATAAAGATAATTAAGATATTAATTGTTAATTGAAATTATTTGTTATTTGATCCTCCATGTTTTTAAATGTTTAAAACCTACCCTATAGTTTTGAAATTTATTTGTGATTAAAAGCTTTAATTTAGACAACTTAAATTTCAAACCCTAGATTTTGAAAAGTTTAAAATACAACCCTATACTTATATGATTTATTAGAATAATATATATATGTATAACTAAATGCTAGTCTTACCGCTAGTAGGCCTCATTCACGAAGCCGATCTATAAGGTGGGTATAAGGTTGCGGCCTATAAAATGGCGCTTAATGGGTGTACACTCACACCCACCGCTTGCTTGATTGGTGGAGGGTCGTTAGCCGAACGGGTAGGATAGGGCAACCTCATCCTCTCATTAAAAGTATAATAAGAAATACGAAGTAACTAAACTTTTTAAATTTCCCAATCTTAGTTACTTTAGGAAAAGTGAATTGATGCAATCCCATGAAATTACACTTTGCACCTTGCTAAGATGTTAGTGGAGCGTGTGTGGTTTACCGGCACACTAATTGGTTCTAAGCGAAGGTGGCAAAGGGTGATTCATTGTTTATCATAGTTCGATGGAGCGTGTGTGGTTTACCGGCACATCGAATAGGTGATCGTAACAATGAAGGCACCATGTAAATTTGCATGGTAATTCACACCCGCTTTGTGATCCTCGGCATCCCAGTCACAAACAAGAGGGGCATATCGAGATTTAAACATGCCATTGAATAGTTCAATGAATCTCATCCGAACCTAGGAATTCTCAAAAACACTTAGGACTAAAAGTTTAAGTTTTGTGATGGAGAATTAGTGAATCGTCATTCACTTACCTTCAATTTATTTGCATGTTGGATTACGGCATCCCTTTTCTAGTATGTAAATGTTATTGTTGGATCCTAGCCCTAATTTTTCTTATTGGGTGATAATTAGGGATTCTTGTTCTAATCTATCTTTGTCCTTTCTATAGATGTCAAACGCAAACAACGCTGCTGCTAGTTCTTTCACGTTGATGAGCCTTTGCCAAAAGGTCACCTTCGATGGAACGAACTTTGGCGAATGGATAAGATACATTCGCACCATTGCTCGCTATGAGGATAAAGAGTATGTCCTCGACGAGAAGCTCGAGAAAATCAACCCCGAAATTGCTACTCCCGCGAAATCACCGCCTTTGAAACCCATGAGCGAGATGCGACGAAAGTACATTGCATCATGATCGCCACCATGAACTCCGATTCCAAAAGTCCTACGAGGACATGTATCCATACGAGATGCATCAAGACTTGTTGGAGAGGTACCACCAAAACGCGAGACAAGAGCGTTACGAGATCTTCACAACATGATTTCCGCTAAGATGGGTCATGGAGAATCTCTTACCGTGCACTTGCAAAAGATGCAAAGGTATGTCGACCGCCTTCGCAAGTTAAATGTTGACTTCGGCGAAGACTTGGCGATCGACATGGTGCTTCACTCTTTGCCTCCGTATAATCAATTTAGGATGACCTACCACATGAACAAAGAGGAGGTCACTCTAAGTAACTCCAAGGTCTCTTGAGGGTTGCTGAGAGCAATTTCAAGGACAAGTCTGTTGCACCAACTCCCAATCCGTCTGCTGCTCCTGTCTTGGCTATTGGTCAAGGGAAGGGAAAGAAGAGGAAAGCTTCTTCAAATAACTATCGAAAGGTGAAAGCCCGAGATGGTTCCTCTTCTAGTGGGACAAAGTTGATCCCTCTAAGCCCTGCTCTAACCCGAAGGAGGCAGAGTGCCACCACTGCCACAAGATAGGACATTGGAAGCGAAGCTGCCCGGACTACCTGCAAGCCATCAAGGAAGGAAAGATCAAGCCATCTTTCGCAGGTATATATGCAATAAAATCTAACGATTCTAATCATGCTATTTCTTGGGTTCTTGACACCGGTTGTGGTTATCACATTTGTTCTAATGTGCAGGGACTAAGAAGAAGTAGGGATGTGGAGCAAGGAAGGATCAATCTAATCATGGGGAACAGAAGATCGTCGCCTGTGACCAAGATTGGAGTGTATTCTTTGGTGCTTAAGAATAGTTTAGTTTTAGATTTGAACAATTGTTGCTATTCGCCAGAAATGGCTAGAAACATCATTTCATTTCATGGTTTATATAGACAAGGTTTTAGATTTTCTTTTAATAATGAGAATGGTTCTATTTTGGCTTATCTAAATGGTGTCTTTTATTTTGAAGCTATACCATGTAATGGAATATATGAAACTGTTATGATTGTTGATAACTTAGGAAATGATGTTTTGAATATTGATTCTTCCACTAGTATGGATAAAGCATCCTTGTGGCATTGTCGTCTTGGACATGTCAACAAGAAACGCATAGCCCAACTCCAAAAGGATGGAGTGTTGGAGTCATTCGACCTTAGGGAAGATGACACATGCGAGTCTTGTTTACTTGGAAAGATGACTAAGTCACCCTTCACGAGTACTTGTGAAAGGGGTGAGGGACTATTAGACCTAATACATACCGATGTATGTGGACCTTTTAGATCAACCACGAAGGATGGGAACCGCTTCTATGTGACCTTTACCGATGATTATAGTAGATATGGGTATATCTATTTAATCAAGCAAAAGTCAGAAACCTTTGAAAAGTTCAAAGAGTTCAAGAATGAAGTGGAGAATCAATTGGGCAGGAAAATCAAGATGCTTCGATCCGATCGAGGAGGAGAGTACCTAAGTCTTGAATTCCACGATTATCTCAAGGAGTGTGGAATAGTTTCGCAATTGACGCCTCCTAGGACACCGCAATTGAATGGTGTGGCAGAAAGGCGTAATCGAACCTTATTGGATATGGTTCGCTCTATGATGAGTCGTGCTTCACTACCTATCTTCTTTTGGGGGTATGCCTTAGAGACTGCCGCCCATATCCTTAACCGAGTCCCTACAAGAAGGTTGCCAAAACACCTCACGAGATGTGGACGGGGAAAGCTCCCTCGTTGGCACATATCAAGGTTTGGGGTTGCGAGGCTTTCGTAAGACGAGATACTCACGACAAGCTTGAACCTCGAAGTGAGCGATGTATTTTCATCGGCTACCCGCAAACTTCCTTTGGATATCTCTTCTATAGACCGAAAGATAATGTTATCTTTGTTGCGAGGAGAGGAGTTTTCCGAGAGCGAGAACTCATAAGCCAAGGAGACAGTGGGAGGCAAATCGAACTTGAAGAGATTCAAGAATCGATAGATGAAGGAACCTCTACCGCTGGCGTTCAACCCGAGGAGGAAACTCCGGTTGAACCGATTGACGAATCCTTACCTCTTAGACGTTCCGATAGATTTAGAGTTCAACCCCAGTTTTATGGTTTTCATATTACTACCGAAGGGGACACGTATATTAGTGATGGTACACTAGTAAATCTTGATGAACCTAATAGCTATAAGGAAGCCATGGCAGGCCCGGAGTCTGCGAAATGGAAAGAGGCGATGGATAGCGAGATCCAATCCATGTACGATAACCAAGTTTGGAATTTGGTTGATTACGTGCCCGAACGTAAGACCGTAGGGTGCAAGTGGATCTTCAAGAAGAAGACCGACGTGGATGGGAACGTACACACATACAAAGCGCGATTGGTTGCGAAGGGCTTTACTCAAACTCCCGGAGTTGACTATGATGAGACCTTCTCACCAGTTGCGAAGATTAAATCTATTAGAGTGATGCTAGCAATTGCCGCATTTCATGATTATGAGATTTGGCAAATGGATGTCAAGACCGCTTTCCTTAACGGAAAGTTGGCTGAGGATGTTTACATGGCTCAGCCAGAGGGGTTTGTGGATCCGAAGCATCCGAATAGAGTGTGTAAGCTTGAGAAGTCCATTTATGGACTTAAGCAAGCGTCTCGCAGATGGAATCTTTGCTTCGATGAGAAAGTCAAAGAGTTTGGATTTGTACGAAGCGAAGACGAATCTTGTGTATATGTCAAAGCCAGTGGGAGTGTAGTAAGCTTCCTCGTTCTATATGTCGATGACATATTACTCATAGGAAACGACATCCCGACTCTGCAGGAGGTTAAGTCCTGGCTCGGGAAGTGCTTCGCTATGAAGGACCTCGGAGAGGCTTCTTACATTTTGGGAATAAGGATAGTAAGAGAAAGAAGTAAGAGACTAATTGGACTTAGTCAGAATACTTACTTGGAGAAGGTACTAAAACGTTTTAGTATGGAAAACTCAAAGAAGGGAGAACTACCGATACAAGGAAATGCCAAGTTGAGTAAGACTCAAAGTCCGAGTACCGAAGCCGAGATAGCAGAAATGAGCCGAGTACCATACGCTTCCGCAGTTGGCTCAATCATGTACGCTATGACTTGTACTCGCCCTGATGTAGCCTTCGCTTTGAGCATGGTTAGCAGATATCAAGGGAACCCTGGCAAAGCACATTGGATTGCGGTGAAGAACATCCTTAAGTACCTTCGGAGAACGAAAGAATGGTTCTTAGTCCTTGGAGGGAGTGATGACTTGAAGGTGCGAGGGTATAGTGACGCCAGCTTTCAAACCGACAGGGACAACTATCGTTCGCAGTCGGGCTGGGTCTTTACCCTAAATGGAGGAGCAGTGACATGGAAAAGTTCCAAGCAGGAAACCGTAGCTGATTCAACGTGCGAATCAGAGTACATCGCAGCGAGCGAAGCGTCGAAGGAGGCAATATGGCTGAAGAACTTCATCGGTGATCTTGGAGTTGTGCCGGCCATAAAGGAGCCCATGGAGATTTTCTGTGATAACGAAGGTGCGGTTGCCTTGACCAAGGAACCGAGGGATCATGGTAGATCTCGACATATCGACAGAAAATATCACTTCATTAGACATCGTGTAGAAGAAGGACAACTCGTAGTGAAGAGGATATCATCAGAAGATAACCCAGCAGATCCGCTTACGAAGGGACTGAGTAGGGTTAAGCACTTACAGCATGCTAGGAGTATTGGGCTGAAGGATGATATTAGCATAGATTAGATAGTATTAGAAACGTATAATAGATAAATGTAATTAACATTTGATGATTAAATAAAGAAGTTTTATTTATGAGTAAAGTTACTATCACATGTTAGTTGTTTAACTATTGTTTCACTTTGCATGTTTTGACTTCCAGAATAATTGAGTTTATTAGGAATAATCGAATTATTCAAATGGTCCACAATCGTTCATATGTTGGGAGTAGATATGAATGAAGATTGTCGTGAATTGGTGTGTAGAGTGTCTAAATGGTGTTAGACATAGCAAGAGTTGCTGCAACGTTCATGAGTGCTTATGAACTGGTTTTGAGCATTGGAATAAACCCGCGCTTGCTGGAATCACCTTATGGAATACGATATAAAAGGTGATCGCAAGACGATAATATCATATGGTCTTAAAACCTAGATATATGGTTTATTATTTGTTAATTGATTGTGCATTGATAATGCGAAAACGCATCAGTAACTTGATGTTATAAAACGCATTGTTGTGTATAGTTGGTTAATGAATAAGTAAATGCATATAAGTCGAAGTTTATCTGTAAATTTTATCCTAAGAGGGTAGAAGAGATATCTTGGCCACTCGATGATTTGATTTGACTTATGTGCCGGGCCCGGTCAGAACTGAATTGATGTGTTCGATTAAGTTCTATGTCAAATAAATCGAAGATCGAGAAATCTAAATGCTAGACTAACCATTCCATAGGATTGTCAGCATGATATCTAACAGAGGACTGTACGATCCCTTATCTAAAGGACAAGATTGATTAGATCAGAGTTGACAGCGTCTTTGAGAGCTACGATTGCAAACCGTATTGTACTTGTATAGTTACTAGACTTATCCAAGTGGGAGACTGTTGGAATAGTGTCTAAGGCTATAACTATATTCGGTGGTGCATGGTCCTTTTGGGTTGCCTTCACCATAGCAACTTGAAGGATGATTTGTTAAGAGAGAGTAAATATTATAAGGAATAATATTTAGCTATTTGATTAATATAAGTCATAAATTAATTGGTATTAATTTGGTGACTTAAAGAGATTAATTAAATAAGAGGGTATAAACTGTCAATTGTTTGATAGTTAGACTTTAGACTATAAATCCATTAGGATGACTTTGGACGGTTTCTAAGAGCTTTAGGATAGCTCAAAATAGTCCATAAGGATATCTATGGAATGGATTTGGATAGCCTTAAGTGAAGATTATCCAATTAGGGTTTAGGGTGAAACCCTTAAGGAGTCTACAAGTATAAATAGGCCCTTGGGATGTGGAATTCGTGTACAACCTTTCAGAACCTAAAGCAAGGAACCTCTGGTCGAATTCCATCCCCTCTCCTCTCTCCTAAATCATCTTGCTTGCTATTGGTGTTTGTAAGCCATTAGAGGAGTGACAATTGTGACTCTAGAAGCTCCAAGACAAGAAGATCAACAAGGAACTCAAAGGTATGATTCTAGATCTGTTTTAATGTTGTTGTTTAACCTAATTAGCCATTAGAAGTCTTGGATTCAAAAGCATGTTTATTAGAAAGCCTAGATCCAAGCATTAGGGTTTTGCATGCGCACATAGGAAAGTTCTTATGGCTAAAACCCAACAGTGGCTACAATGAAGAGACTTATGTCCCTAGGTGATGACAATGATCATGATGATGATGATAACATTGTTGATGACACTTTGCCGAACTCTCCATGTGATAATCCTCCTCCACCTCCTCCTCCATTAAAAAATCTTCCTCCACCTCCAATAAAGTTAGAGTATAATGTTGTTTGACAAAAGAAAGAAGCAAGAAATGAACAACGTTTGTCTGCCAAAATTGCTCAAGCTCTTGCTTCCGCTGATGAGAGTGCTAATGTTCAAAGCATTGATAATTAGGTCAAGAAAATATTTAATAATAATGTGGAGAAACAACAAATTTTTTCAGACCGGAATGACCAGATCGATAGAAAGAAGTTTGGAGACGTTCTTACTCGTAGATCAAAGCTTGATCCCATTATCAAAGTAAGATACACCAAACCTAGAAACGAGTCATTAAAGCTTCATCTTGTCAGGAAGAAAATTGAGTATGAGTACATTGAAGTTGTATTTTCCCGTGAGTTAGTCAATTTTGGTTACAATGAGTGGATGCAAATTCAAGAAATCATAGACAAGCACAAGGGTATTCATGCTCAAGAAGTGAAGTTGGCAATTCAGCAGCTGCTCAGTAAAGTCAAGAAGTTGAACCTTGTGTCATCAGTAGGTCCATTTAGATCCTCCTACTCAAGGAAAAACAGGTGCTCCCAGACAATCCAAAAGTACAAATTTTCTTCTTCCTTATGGTACTAGGTACATCAACAATAAACTGTCAGTAGGTGTTGAACCAGTCCAATACATGTTCATTCCAGAACCAGAGCATAGTATATTTTATCTTGACAGTCTAATCAAATGCTCTTTCAATGCACTGATGATCTTCCTTCTGCTCTCACTGAACATTTGTTTCATCTTCGCTTGGAAGGACTTGGTCACTATGAACAGGAAAGAGGATATCGCGTGCTGATATCTTTGGAGCTTAGTAGAAGACTGGATGAACTTAAACTTGATCAATTCAGATGGGTCAAGCCTTAGATCTTAAAGGAAGCTGATAAGTTCTACAATGGCTCTTCTGATGACTCTGAAGAAGATAAGTTTTGACATCATCAGATAGGGAAGATTGCAAGCTCACACCTTATGATCTAATGAGTCAAATACTCTACACATCTGTCAGCGTCAACGTCTTCTCTACTACCAGCGCTAGCGTATCAAGCTTATCAACGTTAGTGCATAGTATTGTTATTATATTGTAATCATTTGTATATTAGGTAATGATATATATATATATATATAAGTATAGAATAGATAGTAGATTCGTTATCTTTGTTATGAAGATCGGTTCTTAGTATAGATAAGATACAATCCTTTAAATCATGGGATTCACATGTATAAACTAGTATATAATCTACATTAGGGTAAACCCTAATGTAGAGGTTCGAATTTGTGTCAATCATCTTTGTGACAACCCGTCTTCTTAGTCAAGACAAAACCCTTTCGTGGTGAAAGAACAATTTGGAGAACTCTCTGTGTTATTTATTTTCTGTTCCTTATTTTATTAGATTAAGTTTTACTTTGATCTTTATACTTAAAGTGTATCCGATATGTAGCACCTGGTTCTTGGTATGTATTCTTGATTATTAACTCTCCATATGTATTGCATTTTAACCTTGGAATCAGCGAGTTAAAGGACTAACTCGCCGAGTAGAAGCAGGTCTAGTCACGGGATCAACTCTGGCTACTCGGCGAGTAGGGTCGTGGGACTCGGCGAGTAGACCTTGTCTGGACTGAAACCCTAAACCGGGTGTTTGCACCCTATTTAAACGATCTAACCCAGCCTCCACTACCCCTAGCACTCCCAAAGATCTGTAGAACGAAACTCTAGCCCCCTTTGTGTCCTTGTGGGTGATTTTTTAGCATTTTGAAGGTGGTTTGAAGCTTGGGAGAAGAAGGAGAAGGTTGAGGAGTGCAAGAAGGGAAGAAGATCTGAAATATACTCTGTGAAGGGATTCTATTTAGGTAGAAAAGTTCCTACCTTTATCTTTAGTTCATTGAACCCCCTTTCTTGTCCCTAAAAAGAGGTTAAGCCCTAAGAACCTAAATCTCTATGTTTTTATGGTTAATGTTCTGCAAGGACTTCGGATTTGGACCTCTAGGACATCCTAGTAGCATAAAGTCTCTGTGGTTGAGGTGATTGAGGTCCCTATTGAGTGTAGGACCTCTTAAAGAGCTTGGAATTGAATGTTGGGGCTCATTGGGCCATGCATGCATGTAAAGTTTGCAACTTTACGTGGTAAACATGCCCTAGGACCATAGATCTGTGGTTTTGAAGCATTGCATGTCTCAGATCTGGCCGATTTGGGAAATGGGTCGAGGAACTCGGCGAGTCCCAAAGTGGTACTCGGCGAGTTCTATGAAGATGGTCTTAGACTCGGCGAGTTGGATGAACAACTCGGCGAGTCCTATGAAGATGGTCCCTATTTAGTTCATCTAGGGTTGCTACTACCTGTGTTATGTTTATGTGTTAGTGACAGTAGGGGGAGATAGTCCCCCAGAATACCGGTCGATAGGGCTGAAGGGGCGGTCATGCCCAACCATGCTAGGTAGACTATGTGATATATGTGTTATGTGGTAGTAGTAGCGGGTGAAATAGTCCCTGGTATTCGGTCGAGAGGACCGAAGGGGAGCCAGCACCCAGATATGCTAGGCAGTATCCGGTCGAAAGGACCGAAGGGGAGCCAGCACCCAGATATGCTAGGCGGTATCCGGTCGAGAGGACCGAAGGGGAGGCCAACACCCATATATGCTAGGCAGTATCCAGTCGAGAGGACCGAAGGGGTAGGTCGGGCACCTAGATATGCCTGACAATTTATGTATGTTACGTGATTATATGGTATGTGGTACAGTGGGGGAACTCACCAAGCTTCGTGCTTACGGTTTTCAGTTTTGGTTTCAGGTACCTCTTCAGCTAAGGGAAAGGAGCCGGCGCGGTAGCAGCATATCACACACACTTTTGTTTCCGCAGTTATGAGTTTATTGTGGGATTGATACTCTGATATTTTGGTTGTTTACATGTTGTGGATTTCAAATTTGGGTTTTAGATTTGAAATGATTTAATTAAACAATGTTTTAATTATTAGTGTTTTCTAAGTAAAGTTTTAAAAATGAAATTTTGGACATGAAAAATTGGGTCGTTACACGATCGATACAAACCTTCAATAAAGTTTCCAACTTTATCCATTTTCATGCCTGAGATATCACTAACTTTAAACCTAGGTAAAAAATGTGTCCAAAGATGCTCAAAATCTTGCATGGTTCAAAATGAAAGCCAACACTCCCATCTTTTCATCACTAAGGGTCCACAAAGTAACATAAGTTAGACTTTATACTTAGAGTTGTCAAAACTCCATAGAAACTATGACAAATAGGACCAACTATGCTTAAAATCCTAGATCTAGCAACCAGCAAGGATAGAGTTCATAATTGAATACTTACAGAGCACAAGGGTGAGGTCAAGAGCCTTGTATTATCTAGATCTAGCCTTTGGTGTACCAAAACTTCCTTTCTTCTACTTCAAGCCTCACCAACATAAACCAAGAACACCAAATGAGATGAAAGAGGCTAGGGTTTCGAGGGTTGGCTTTTCTGGGGTTTGAGGTTGATCAAGAAACATGAATAATCTTAGAAGCCAGTGTCCTTATATAGGGCTCAAGGCCCAATATTAGGGTTTGGGCTCTTTGCAACGTTGTGTCGCGACCACACTTGGCCACGTCGCTACTTATGATGTGGCATGCAACGCACTTATCCATTAAGTGCATTGCGAATAAGGGTTTCACAAAAGCCTCAAACTCGTTTCCTCAAGATCCCTCATTGAGCACATATGAAAAACATACATTACAAATTAGTTAGGATTCAAGTTTATATAATCATATTGGTCTCCTAGATTACACAAATTCAACTACAGTTAATAATAATCAAAACTCAAAAGCATAAGGATTTACAATCAAACAAACATAATAAATTATTAATCAATAAATCCAAACTAAATAAGTCAACACATAGTTATTTAGGGGTTCATTTATCTAGGCATAAGTAGATGGTTTTTAGCCCTTAATTGCAACTAGAACACAAACGAAAATCATAATGGAATACATAGTGCAAACCAAATGATTAAATAGTAGTTCCACACTTTGATCTTCAAACACTTGCGTCTATCGTGTTCAGCGGCTTCAATCTGCTTTAATTCTTTAGAAAATCAACTTATTTGTTGAACTGGTCGTGGGTTGAACATATCATATCGTATCTGCTGGGTGATGAGGAGTCATATTTATGGATATTCTTATCATCTCCATTCAACTCTATTTTCTTCCTTATCCTTCTCCGCCACAAATTTATATGTAAATTCAATTTCAAAAAATTATCAGTATCATTTATCTTAACTTATAATATTAAGATAATGGCCTCAAATATATGTATAAATAAGGTCATATCACTATTTCTTTTGTTTTAACCCAAAAATGAAACAAGGCCAAGAGATATTAGAGTCAAAATGTAGCTTGATCTTGGTAAAATTTAAAAAATGAATATGTTCGATCTCGAAGTTCAACACTCAAGATTCAAGACTATATTTTCCTCTTCATTTAGTCAAAGTAGTGACCATAAACTATAACAAACTTTCGTTTTATTTGACTAATTAACAAAAGAAGTAAAATGCATTAACTTATTGTTTATGAGAACAGTAAACCAAAATATATTGAGTTCAACTATAATTTTCTATCAAGTCAGACCAATATCTTATTCTTTTCTCCTAAATAGACAGTTTATGTTATCCAATATAGTTAACGATCAAGAAAAATGTAGCTAATGTCTTTAATCCATTGCAGGGTTGATCTTGGGTTTGCTTGCAAGTTTAGTATATTTTTTTCCTAATTGCAGGAGATTTTAATGTCATCATGTGGTTTAGTATAATCAAGATTAACTTGAAATAAACTAAGCTCAATTTATGCCTATATTGTGAGTTCGAGAGGTGTCAAGTTCGTATAAAATAATTTGATCTCACTAGAATGAGATTCTGGAGTGGTGCCCCTAGTGGGGTTCCACGGGGCTGGGGTGGTTGGGTGTTTTTTTTCGGGTTAATCGGTTTTCTGTTGGTTTCCCAAATCGTCTGAAAACGAACCATATTAAAGACGGTTTTTTGGGTTAGCAGGTTAATCAGGTACGAATTAACCGGTTATGGTTTGGCCACCCGAATAATACAAGACCATTTGAATGGAGCCCAAAGATGAAAAGCCCATTTACATTTATGCCCATAAAGCTAAGTAATGTTGTTGTGTACATTTAAGACCTAGCATTTATTCATTTTGGTTGTCTAGGTAGACGTCGCTCATCAAATGTATGTGGTCTAATGTCTTATATGTATGGTTTTATATTGCATTAGATTGCTTATACTTATAGCGTCGAGAACGAGGGGATGTGAGGGAGGGGTCTCTCACAAAAAACATAAATTAAATCAGATTTGGGAATTGGGTTTGGGGGTGGGGGTTTAGTCTTTATTATTATTTTATTTATTATTATTATTTTTTAGTTAATTTGCATTAATGTTCTAAAATTGATATAATTTATTGTTTTGGTTCCTATTCGATTTAAAATATAAATATATATTAAATGTAACTTTTGGTTTGTGAGAAAAATTCACCTAACTAAATATATAGGTGGTAAATGGGAATGTCATCGTACAAAACAAAACTGTCAATGTGTAAAATGTAATTGTAATAATCCTTTAACTTTATATAATCCATCATTTGTAATCTTCTATTTTATAAAATAATATTTTTCAATCATTTACTTTCTAAAAAACTACTTTCATCCCTCAAACTTCAACTTTTGTCACTTTTACCCATTTGTTTTCCAGATTATTATGTTTATCCTTGTCCCGGTATATATATATATATATATATATATATATATATATATATATATATATATATATATATATATATATATATATATACACTTTATTTTGAAAAATACATTTCTCA